CTTAAACATGTAGAACAGACATTTGGATTTACAAACTATGTAGTTTAACGTTACATACCAGGCTTTATTTACTACAATGCAACATCCCAGTTTGTTGGATTTACACAAAAAGTGACATGGTTTAACGTAAAGAGGTTTTAAGCGTCAGCGAGAACAACAGCTCGGGGTTTAGAGTGGTGTGATGAAGGTGATAAAGTATGAACAATTTATTAACATAACTCAGTTTCATAGAACCTCTGACAGCCGTGAGCACTGTCAAGCTCTTCCTCCTCTTCCTTGCCTGTTGTCTGCCTGTTTTTCAGCTTATTCTCCACTTCATCCCCACACCTCGTTCTCCATCTGGTTTCCCAGCTGGCCGAGTCTAACACAATGTAGGCTACTTCATGGACTGATTGTCACATGGGCGCTGGGAACTTTTCCAGCAAATGCCGAACACGACCTCAACCAGGGAGAAAGTACTTTTCAACGGTAGGTCTGAGTCTGTTGGCCTGCTGGCGGCAACTATGAGGTGAAATCTACGATGCCTGACAGTATGAGGTATTTATTCTATTGTCCAAATTAAACTCCTCCCTTTTCCTTAGTTTTTTACCCAACCCTCAAGATGATGGCTTAAGCACCGCCCCTGAGGTAACTATCAGATGCACTTGGCTAACCCCATTTGACCTGTTTCCACTCACAAGTGAACGGCCTAAACAGTACGACCTTGACCAGGAGATAAAACATTCCTAATTGCCAAACGCCTTAGCTTCCTTTTCTCTCCAGAATTACCACTGACGTGTTAAACTCCGACCCCCCCCGGTCCCGCTCCACCATGTCTAAGCGTCTACTCAATTCCCCCTGTTCGAAAAGGGGCCCCGCTTCGTCTCTCTAGTCTGGTCAGGAGATAACATTCTGACACTGGCGCGTGAGAATCCAACCCCTCACACCTCACATCCCTAGTCCTGAACCAGCGGGCCTGTATTTACGTAGTGTTAGGTAATTTTAAACAAAGCGCACGTGGCCTTTGTCTGGGAGAAGGACTGGTAACATTTAAATCAATTTGGTTTAAAGTAAATATGAGGGTAAAGGGCATGAGTAAATATAATCCTCTCTCTTTAGAACCAGAAGAACTTATTACAAGTACTAACTTCTGGAATCACTGAGATCGTCTCGTGACAGCTGGGATCAAACCCAGCAACCCGGCATTACAAAGCGCGTTCGCATGAAAAGGTTATATTAACCTTTACTGGAGCTTTGTCACGTTGTTTTGTCAGCCATGAAGAGAAGCTAAATTTCTCAGGGATTATCAGTTTCTCAGGGATTATCACACTTTCAGAGGTTATCACATTTTCGGCAGGCATCCCGGATGGGAAAAACCGGCAACGATAGCCAACCAAACAAATGTTCCGAAAATTGTTAACATAAATAAGTGAAGGGAATACATTCTGGGCGTGGATTCCTTCATACTTGTTGCAATGTTATAAAGTTTGCGGTGGGGTAGAATGTTAACAATATTACCCAGTGAATTATGTTACTACTGACTCTTAAGTAGTGGGACCGGCTCAATCAATAGTAGGACAGATTAGATGAGTACTGGAACAGATTAACTGGATGTTGACACACGGTGACTGAATGCCGGGAGTGGCAAAACTGGATATTGGGCGTGAATAACTGAATACTGGGCGTGGCTAACTGAATGTTGACACTGGCGGGCTGAATGTTGGGAGCGGCTAACTGAACACTATGAGCGGCTAACTGAACATTGGGAGCGGCTAACTGAACACAGGGAGTGCCTAACGGAAAACTGGAAGCGGCTAACTGAACGTTGGGAGTGGCTAACTGAACATTGGGAGTGGCTACGTGAACATTGGGAACGGCTAACTGAACATTGGGAGTGGCTAAGTGAACATTGGGAGCGGCTAACTGAACGTTGGTAGCGGCTAACTGAACACTAGGAGCGACTTACTGAATGTTAGGAGTAGCAAACTGAATATTGGGAGTGACTAAGTGAATACTGTGAGTGGCTAACTCAGCGTTGTGAGTGGAAAAATGAATGCTGACACTGGCGGACTGAATATTAGGAGTGGATGTTTAAACGCTGTGAGTAGCTAAATGAATATTGGGAGTGACTAACTAAATACTGTGAGTGGCTAACTCAGCGTTGTGAGTGGCAAAATGAATGCTGACACTGGCGGACTGAATATTAGGAGTGGATGGTTAAACGCTGGGAGTAGTTAAATGAATATTGGGAGTGACTAACTGAATACTGTGAGTGGCTAACTCAGCGGTGTGAGTGGCAAAATGAATGCTGACACTGGCGGACTGAATGTTGACGTTGTAAAACTGGCGGGCTGGATGTTGGCAGCGGCAACATGGGAGTGTATTATGTGCAATGACGTCGACTATGATAAAGCAAAAGCATGTCGTAAGAGTCCACTGTGGGCTTCTTCGAAGTCAAAGTGCATCTGCCCGAGAGGCAAGGAACCAATAGTCTGCATACGAGTAAGCCAGTTCTGTAAAAAGGATGCGGAAGCGGCATTCAGGTTCTGGAACAAGACTAAAGTCTAAAGGTGGACGAACAACTTGAACTTTCCGCCGGAGATTACAGACGGTGAACGCAAAGAAGAAGAAACTGTCTAAAATGGGTATCGAGGTAAAGTCCTGGAAAGTAAAGGCAGCAGATGGTGGTTATCCATAACGACCATCTAATTCCGATTAGTCAGTAAAAAATATATGTCTTGCTTAATATGTTATTTCCGTATCCTTTACAGGACGTTGCAGAACCAGCTTTAGCATTATTTGACTTTTATGGTTTCTCTAGGAAAATTTTACGTTCAATAGTTTGCCATTGCCCCTGAACTATCAGCTATCGGTGCCATTGTCGAAACCAACGCAAGACAAATCATGTCCGGCTCCAGCTGACGGGCCGTGCTGCTGACGTCACCGCGTCAGGCTAACGATGCGGTAACGTTCTCAAACAAGATATAAACTATTTTCGACAGTAGCAAGGAAAGACAACTTAAATTTTATCTTTAAGTATCTACATGCCTTCTTCATTATTTCACATTTTTAGCCGACTTTTCTTTATTACGCGGCAGCCCTGGCATACGCTCAGGACACCCCAGGCTGCCTCAGCACCCAGTTTGAGAAATGCTGCGTTAACGCATCGTTAGCCCGACCCGGTGACGTCAGCAGCACGGCCCGTCAGCTGGAGCCGGTCGTGGTTAGACTGAGTTGTCTTCACAAAGCTCGTGTGAACGGCTGGTGAAATTGCGTATTTTTAACTTTCTCTGACATGGATTTATTTCAGTTGTCAGCCTTGACGACAAGCAAGGAGGGCTGACCCCAGATTGTTAACAAATCTGAAACAACGAGACGTAGGCTGGAGTTTCTCGTGGGAAGTAGGCTGAGGCTGTGTGGTGGAAATTGAGGTTAGTGCCAGTTCTAGATCTTCTGAAATCGTTAAAAGTTAATAGAGCACGCGCCACAGCCGGTGATAGACAGTACAACCTGACACCCCTGTAATATTGAGTCGTGCATATGAAAGGTCAGCAAGCATAAATGAAAGACCTATCACGGTGTGTGTGTTTTTTTTTTTTTTACGTATCCAGAAACCATGAGTTGTAAACCCTTTGGCTCGGTACTATGGATATCGCAACCCTTCGGCCTTGATTCCATTATAGGTACCATTAATCTGGGAGAAATGTGGCTTTTCTGCCTATCCCCGGGAGTGAACCCGGACCACAAGGAGTTCGTCACCATGGACCGGAGATCGTCACTTGTACTGACGTATGAATGAACCAACGTATAAAAGGAGTGAAAAAAAAAAGCAGACTGTATGAACGCACCTGCATGTATGTTTCTTACATTTCTGAACCTCCCCTTCCTCCAATATTTGTACTTTCGTTTATTCAATATAATTAGCATTTCAGTAACCACGAGACAGTGCCAGCACAATCAGTATTTTATTTATCACCATAAAGAAGCGCCAGTGCGATCAGTATTTTATTTATCACCATAACGTAATGTTTAAATGATTAGTATTTTAGTCATGGTTACGAAGTCTTCATAGGATCAGTATTTCAGCCATCACCACAAAGTAATATTTATATTTTCAGAATTTCAGTAATCACCACGAAAGTAGTGTTTATTTTATCAGTATTTTAGGGGTCACCGTAACATATCTATGATCGGTATTTTAGACATTACACAAAGTAATTGTTTGTATGATCAGTTTTCCAGTAATCATCAGTATGTAGTGTTCCTGTGATCAGTATTTCAGTTGTCACCTGAAACATATTGTTTATATGAACAGCATTTCAGTGGTCACCACAACAAACACCCAACAACCACTACAGATGACTCACCAGCTGTTCCTCGTTGAAGTCGGTGATGTTGGTGTCCAGGTTCCATTGTTTCTGCGACAGGATGTTCTGCTGTTTCCCGGCTGCTGAGTTGAACGACTCCAGGAACTCTTCGGCCTCGGTCTGGTTGTCGTTGGTTCCCTGGCTTGTCACGTGGCCCAGAAAACTGAGCGTTATCAGGAAAGCCCAGATCTTCATCTTTCCGTGTATACCTGTACACATTTAACAGATACACATATATACACACACATATATATTTTTTCTTTCAATATCCAGAAACCATGAGTTGTTAACCCTTTGGCTCGGTACTATAAATATCGCAACCTTTCGGACTTGATTCCATAGGTACCGTTGATCTGGGAGAAATGTGGCTTTTCTGCCTACCCCCGGGAGTGAGCCCGGACCACAAGGAATTCATCACCCGGTCACCGCGAAGTCAGGTTTAACCAACTACTCTAGAGAGCCGGGCATATATATATATATATATATATATATATATATATATATATATATATATATATATATATATATATATATATAAAAATAAAAATAAAACCAGGGTCTATATTCCAAATCAGCATAAAGACCAGACGTAGATAATAAAATAATATCCATTGTTGATAGCTGTTATTGTTGATAAGTAAAATATAGGTCAATTAGGAATTATGTATACAGTACTGGTACATGAGGCCTATGCAGTAAACGCAGTTTTATAAACCAATGGCGCTTGATGGATGTTGTGGTCCATATCATACCGGTTGCCTTTACTGCCCGGAACATTACCTGGTACTCTTTTCAGACTGGGTCGACCCAGGAGCCAAGGTCAGTACAACATATGATTCTGGTGATATGGTGAGTTCATGGGTACACAACACATAAATTATTTACCTACAATGTTTCAGGCGTTCGCCTATCAGTTCCAAACTCTAGGGTTCAAATCAGTTTCGAACCTGCGTTCCCCCCCCCCCCTTTTAAGTATTGACCTTCGCCACCATGTTGAGAGTAAAGTAAAAGTAAAGGTCCCTTTACACGCTCTTAGGCTATAGGGCATATAGGGCTAGACCTATATTTTGATAGACCAATCGCCACAAGATGGGTGATGTGGTCAGCATCCCGCCGGCCGCCTTTCCACCAGGTCGACTTCGTTTAAAATGAGTACTATGTGATATTTTGGGAAGTAAAGATGGCCGGCGTGAGAGTAGCCATTTGAGCCACCGAGGGCCACAATCCTAGCATCTCACTGATTTACTGATTTAATTGTCCACATCATAGCACACCGGGCATACCCATACATGCTCCGTCTCCCGCAACAACTATCTCAAGGTGAAGATATTAACTGTCCCCGTAGCACACTGATTATACACATGCTGTTTACTTGCTCTCGTTCGTCCATCAAGGGATGATCCACACCTAATTCTTTGTCTACGTTCTTCAAGGTTAGTTGCGTATCCTTTACAGGACGTTGCAGAACCAACCCCAGCAGCTGTTGTGTGGGTTCTCTAATCTCTAGGCAAATTTACGTCCAGTATTTTTCCATTGCCTACTGGACGGTCAGCCCGTGATACCACTGTCGAAATCAATGCGTGGCGCATGGCCCAAAGCTGGGATCGAAACCGGCACCCCGGCATTACGAAGCGTTCGCATCGACTTAGCCACAGATCTGACCTACGTTCTTACGCATGTTATTTGATCTAACTTCGTGTCTTTTATCAGCATTTGTTCATAAACGGTCCTCAGAATGTCTCCATTGTCCAGAGGTTTAGTAGCTATCGTTTGTGTAGCCAGGAAATCCGGTCTTTCATTTCCTCCCACTCTTGCATATTCCGGACAGCATATCCAGGCAAGTCCCTGTGGTGTTCATGAGCTGATGCTAGGTTTTCACTGGTGCCACATTTATCCTAGCATCTTATGCTGGATGAGCCAAAGACGTGACAAAGGTCAGTACTATACAACATGTGTAATACACAATGGTCTATAGCATAAAAGTGCTTACTATAATTTTAAACACAAGCTGTATTATAAATAATTAGTTGGCAAACGTTAGCGAGCTTTATTACCTTATCAGCTTAAATAAGTGTCTCCGTCAGCTGCATCTAATGGCTGTTAGTGGTAATTTTAGCAAGGGGTTTTAATTAGATTTGCTGATGTTTAGAGATCATAGATGACAGGTCCGCTTAGTGGAAACTTCGGTTAATGGGGAACTTATAGTTCTTCTTTTTTCTTTTCATAGTCTTTACTGTGTGGCGTTGGTTTTTATGTCAATCCACAACCTTCTATCTCATGTATACAGACAATCCTCCGTTTATTCTGTCATTGGTAATCAGTCTACCTACAATCTTCTTTCTCGTGTACTTTCTGAGCATTTCCATTCTTTTCTGACACACATGATCTTAGATGCCATGATGGCAAAGCGTCCATTATCTTCTCTCTCGATCTCTCTCTATCTCATTTCCTCTCCAAGTTTCTCACCGGCACGATGTACTGCAGGTTTCTTCTTCTCATGACATGACCAAATCATTTCGATTGTCTCCTGATGTGGGCAATCAGTTTTCGTCGTGAATCAGTTTATGTCCAGACATCATTGGTCCTTTTATCTGCCCAAGGAGTTCTCATCATCGTCTATAAACCGCATCTCCGCCGCTTCCAAATAACTTTCAATAATCAACCATTCAATTCTGAAGACCATGAACGAACTCTGGTAGAAGACATGGACTGAGATGACACATATGTAAACATGTGAGAACTAGGAATCAGGTGTGAATCCGCCAAGGAGGGACGTATGAGAGGAAGCGAAAGACGTGTGTGTGTGTGTGTGTATGTGTGTGAGTGTGTGTGTGTGTGAGTGTGTGTGTGTAAGTGTGCTACTGAAACAGCATCTACATCTGAAGGTATTTTTTGTGGGAGACGGAGGAGTTAGGGGTGTGTTCGGTGTCTGGCGTGTTATGATGTCTATTCTTAAATCAGTAATCAGTAAACCTTTCTGCGATCCTTCTCAAGGTTTCCGTAGTTCATCCGCGTATCCAAGCTTCCATGTGCAGTCCGCGTATTCAAGTTTCCATGTGCCGTCCGCGTATCCAGGTTTCCATGCATGCATGTACTTTTATGCTATAGACCATTGTGTATTACACATGTAGTATTACACATGTATGCATGCATGCATGCATGTATGTATGTATGTATGTATGTATGTATGTATGTATGTATGTATGTATGTATGTATGTATGTATGTATGTATGTATGTATGTATGTATGTATGTATGTATGTATGTATGTAGTATGTATGTATGTATGTATGTATGTATGTATGTATGTATGTATGTATGTATGTATGTATGTATGTATGTATGTATGTATGTATGTATGTATGTATGTATGTATGTATGTATGTGTATGTATGTATGTATGTATGTATGTATGTATGTATGTATGTATGTGTATGTATGTATGTATGTATGTATGTATGTATGTATGTATGTATGTATGTATGTATGTATGTATGTATGTATGTATGTATGTATGTATGTATGTATGTATGTATGTATGTATGTATGTATGTATGTATGTATGTATGTATGTGTGTGTGTGTGGGTGCGTGTGTGGGTGCGTGTGTGGGTGTGGGTGTATGCGTGTGTCTGTGCGTGTGCGTGTGTGGGTGCGTGCGTGGGTGCGTGCGTGACGCGCGCTCGCGCCACCAGGAACCAACGAAAACGCTCCTGAACAAAACAAAACAATTTTATTTAAGCAAGACAGTCGACCACTGCCTTTGTTTCTGTTGAATCTAGCATGAAGAATCAACATTGAAACTCTTGCCTTATCTACTAGCCCCTTTTTTGAAGCGTGTTTATTTGGAATTCTTATCTTCCTTGTGCAGTCCGGTTAACGGAAACAGCGTTAAACGAATGACTGCCTAATGAGACAGCCGAGCATCTAGAAGTATGGACTTCTGGGTTGAGTAGTTTGGCGAAGTTTGGTTTGAGATAGGACAGCAAGACTTCTTATCTCATGGCTAACAAACTGGTTTTTGTGTTTGGACGAGCAAGATGGCACACACGATGGTGTTTGTGCTCTGGGATGATAAGCTCTAGGGCCCAGGTTCTTCAGATAAGTACCTTTTTTTTAAGAACACTCATACCTGGCTGACAGGGGGTAACGCAGTGGCTAAATATTTTTCTGATGGTCGAAGGTCTTGAGTTCCAATCCACAACGGACGGATTTTGTATAAGGGAAGCTTCGAGCGGACTGATTTGCTGGTAGGGCCACGGTAGGTACACGACAAGCAAAAGACTGAGCTATGTTCTCAATGCTCTCAAGAAGACAGGATGAAAAGGTGATTAAGTAAACGATGCTGAGTTGGCAAAATTATAAATTCTACATGAATTTCAGGTCAAAAAAGATATTGCCAGACATAAACACTACACAGGCAGCCAAAGATGAATAGTTCACCAACACAGAACTGGGATTATCCGTCGCTACACGCTGGGGAATAAACAGGAGATGGGATCCGAGCGGTTACAGAATTGCTCGATGTGCAGTGACGATAATAGGTAGGCTAACTGACTTAACTAACTAACTAACTAACTAACTAACTAACTAACTAACTAACTAACTAACTAACTAACTAACTAACTAACAAACTAACTAACTAACTAACTAACTAACTAACTAACTAACTAACTAACTAACTAACTAACTAACTAACTAACTAACTAACTAACTAACTAACTAACTAACTAACTAACTAACTAACTAACTAACTAACTAACTAACTAACTAACTAACTAACTAACTAACTAACTACCTAACTAAACTAACTAACTAACTAAACTAATCAAACTAACTAAACTAGCTAAACTAACTTACTAAACTAACTAAACTAACTAACTAACTAACTAACTAACTAACTAACTAACTAACTAACTAACTAACTAACTAACTAACTAACTAACTAACTAACTAAACTAACTAAACTAACTAACTAACTAACTAACTAACTAACTAACTAACTAACTAAACTAACTAACTAACTAACTAACTAACTAACTAACTAACTAACTAACTAACTAACTAACTAACTAACTAACTAACTAACTAACTAACTAACTAACTAACTGTCTAACTAACTATACTAACTTAACTAACTAACTAAACTAACTAATTAACTAAACTAACTAAACTAACTAACTAACTAAACTATGTA